GCGGGCACAAACTACCGAAGAGGCTTTGGGATCAGCTCGGGAGTGGGTCCAGCGTCTTGAGGGCGAGACTTCAGCTCAGAGGAGTGAGTTGGAGAGACTCCGAAGAGAGAATGGTGCCCTGAGGCTTGTCGCAAAACACCTCACAACCTCGAAAGGGGTCTTGGAGCACGCGTACTCACTGAGTTCGATGGCCCACTTCGTTAATCGACCGGAGACCTCGACTTGAGCAATACTTGCCTCAAGGGTTTGTCGGTGAGGACGATAATGGTATGGGCTTGGAAGTACGAGCGGAGTTTGTGGGCCGCAATGACCAACGCATAGGCCAGTTTTTCTATTTCTGGATATCTTGTGTTTGCTCCCTGCAACACTTTACTAACATAATAGATAGGTCGTTGGACCTGATCTACTACCTTTATTAGTACCGATCTGACCATTTCGCCGCTTGTTGAAAGATATAGTTCTAGGACATCTCGGACTTCTCCTTGATGTCGGCCTTGAGGTATTCCACCTCGTGCTCCAAGACCCCTTTCAAGGTCGCGAGGTGTTTCACGACAAGCCTTAGGGCGCCATTCTCTCTTCGGAGTCTCTCCAACTCACTCCTCTGAGCCGAAGTCTCGCCCCCAAGACGCTGGACTCGCTCCTGATCTAATCCCAAAGCCTCTTTGGCAGTTTGCGCCCACTTCAGATTCCTCTCTGATTGGATGATCAGGGAATGGATGGAGGAGTTTGCCTGCCAAGCAAGGAGTCAGTTCGGCAAGAAAGAAAAAAACACAAAGGGAAAACCACGTCAACTTACCACCATAACATGAGATGTAGCACGTGCGCTGATGTGGCCCGAAGGAAGTTCAGACCATGTCGCAACCTCGCCTGGATAGACGGCCTTTTGGCTCTTCCGGAGAGCACAGCTCGGAGTCAGCACACCGCCAACCCCCTCTTAGCTCCCCGAGCTGGAAAACGTTGTCTGTGTTCGAGAAGCCTCTGTAGTTTCAGCTTCCCGAGCCTCTGCAACACCGGGCTCCGCCGCCATTTCCGGGATTGACCCAGCCACCTCAAGTTCCCTGGGAGAATCCAGGTTGATGATCGGAGGATGGCTCGGGACTTCGGACTCCATGGCCCAAGGAGACTCCACACGAGCTCGCTTGGTGACCCGCTTCCTCCTCTTCATTCCGTCAAGTAGGTTGACACCACAGGTCTTCTCTGCCTCCATGATACCTGCGAAAAGAGCTCGGCATTAGTAAAAAAAAAAAAAAAGCCTACCCGAACTCAGACCGGCCTGAATAAGCTTAGCCTCTGAGAGGTAATCTCTGCACTCGAGCCCGACCTGGGCCCAAGACTGAAAGGTCTCCACCATGTCTTTATCTAACATGACGCTGGGATCTGGGACAACCACCTTCCAATGAGTAGGAAACAACCACCCCATAGCACTTCGGACCATGAAGTAGTCTTCCACGCCGGGACCTTATTCGGAAGCTTATGAAGAAGTTTAAATCCCGGGCGGGGAGACAGGTAGTAGGCCCGCCTGTGCTCGGGAAGCTCGCTCGCTCGCTTCTTGAGCATGAGAATGACAGAGAAAATTTCTAAGTCTAGGGGAAGAACGTACTCGCAGCAGATGGATATGGTTCCGACGACGTTACGGATGGAGTTCGAGTGAAGCTGACCAACTGAGACGCCGAAGTGGTTCAAGACTTCGACGATTAGGGGATGGAGTGGAAGGCGCAGCCCGGCAATGAGCTGCTCCCGGAAGATCACGATCTCATCCGGACCGTGCTTCCAAGGGAAGTTGCCCGTAGGTAAGCTATATGCGTACTCCCCGGGCAGGTTAAACTGACGAATAAGGGACCGAAGTCTCTCAGACGTCATAGTGGAGGGTCCGAACGTAGTCTACCAGGGGTGACCCCGACTGAAGGCCCTACCTCGGGCTCATCTAGAAGGCTGTCGAAAGAGGCAGCCCGACCCGAGGTCTCCGTCTCAGGCCCTCCTAAAAGGTTATCTAAACTACCCGAGCTACTCGAACTAGACATTGCAAAAGGAAAGGAAAGGAAATTGAAAAGGCTAAGGGGACTCACCAAGGGAACGCTACCGAACTAGGGAAGGTGACGCGAGCTGAGGACCTTGGACGCGAGCTCAAGGAACGATCGCTGAATATTGACAAAGGAAAAAGTAACCAGGGCCCCCACTATTTATAGCCGCTGTACCCGCGCATCAACGGTCGAGATCAAAGCCATCCAACGGCTCTCAGGAAAACTGGTTGCACGACCCCCGAGGTGAAATCAGTTTAGCACGAATTTTTGACGTCCGAAAGCTGATAAATCGTTTGACGTCTGCGTGTGAGCAGTACGCGACCCGGGCTGACTCTGGTCAAGCCGCGTTGACCCTAGTTGAGCCGAGAACATAGGCGGGTCAGACCGGAGGATCTCCGAACTGGACGAAGCACGCCACGGGCCAAATCCACCCGTCAGTCCGTGAACTCCCCGCGCCAGGTCAAGACCCCAGGCACAGGGAGTAGGGGGCAATTGATGGAGGTAGATTTGGCCCGACCCCTTGGCTGTGCGACACGTGGAAGAAACTGGGCGTGACCTGGCAGGAACGCCAGCTCGACCCAGTGACATAGCTACAACCATATTCCAAGAAGAGGCTCGAGCTTCCCGAGCTTCTCAAGAAGAGGCCCGAGCTCCCCAAAAGGAATCCACACTTCCCGAGAGGTGAAACCCGAGCTCTCCCTAAGAACCCCGAGGCTAACAAGGAAACCCGCGAGGGTCAAAGCCCGGACTAGCCCACCTCGGGTCAGTCGGGGCCACACCCCGGCACCTCGGGACAGTGGGCCATACTCTCATCCGAATTCAAGACTTCACCTCGTGCACCACCCTGGCACCTCGGCTCCAGGTCGTGCAACTGTAAAACCGTGCCCGACAGGTCCGTACTCTGAGGCAACACACCTGACTGGTCAGGATCAGACAGATGATAATCACACTGTAACGGCCACCTGCTACCGCCATCTCAGTTGTTGCAGGGACTGCCCTGATAGGGAGGCAGTTATGATAATCACACTGTAACGGCCACACTGTAATGGCGGTTATGTCTGCCCCCCACAGAGGCAGTTACACCTCACCTGGCAGAAGCTTGGGAGTGAGTGGAGCTGGTGGTTATAATAGACCTTCTTCCCCCAAGAAAAGAGGTATGCAATATTTGTGCTTTCTGGTCTTAAAATCCCTTATTTTCCTTGCCTTCTCATGAGTATTAACTTGAGCTTCGGAGTATTCCCACCGGGTTCCTCCCCGGAAATCTCTTATTTCTTCCTTGTTTCAGGCATCTTCAGCTCCGTCAGAGGCCTGGTTACCGGCAGCTAAGACCGACCGGATCGTGCAACATCAATTGGCGCCGTCTATGGGAAATGCTACAAAAAGCTAAGTCCTCTTCTCCGAGAAAGCTAAGTCCTCACTTTTTAGAAACTGAAGCTCTCGCTTTATAGTTTCCATTTTTTTTGAACTCAAAGAATATGCAGGGAGCTAACAGACTAAGCAGTTCGACCAACTTTACTTTCAATTCAGATAAAACCTCGTCAGTCCTCTTCGGCATGGGCAAAGTCAAAAAGAGTGGACTACGAGTCGCTCCCAAAGCCTACGGGCCACATTACTGCTTGAAACCCAGTCGTTTATTCAGCATGGGCAAAATCAACAAAGGTAGATAATAAGTTGCCCCTAGAGCCTATGGGCTACAATACTGAACTGGCGGAGACCTCCTCACCTTACAGGCAGCTCCGAGAGCTTAAGAAATTGGATCAACACTTAGTAGCTCGTCGAATTACGAGCCAAAAGGAGAAACCTACTCCCTTCGCCGAGTTACTCTCAGCTTAGGAGTGGGGGGCAAATGATGAGGGTGGATTTGGCCCTCTAGTGAAATTATGACACATGGCACCTCATGCCAACTAAGTGCAGCCTCTTGACAACTAGACAGTTCGAGCTAGCTACAGGCAACCCGCCACAGGTAGCTTGCCACTTACAGGTAGCTTGGCATAGGCAATTTGCCACAGGTAGCTGTCCACTTACAGGCAGCTCGCCACAGGCAGCTTGGCATAGGCAGCTCGCCACCGGCAGCTCGGTGAAAAGTAGCTCAGTGCAAGGTAGCCCGTTGTAGAGTAGCTGGGCGTATCGTAGGAAGATTTCCTATGTGACAACCATACCTGGAGATCTGGAGACTGCTCCCGTGACTCTGGCCAATCAGCGTCGTGCCTGCCAGTCCTTGACAAGCGTCCCCTATCTAGCAGGGCCGTACCCTGCAATGGTTACCTGCGCCCACCAGCTCAGCCTTGGCAAGTAACAGCTACGGAAGAGAATTAGAGGCGGTTATGCCAAATCTGTTAGAACACCACTATATAAGAGCTCTGACCCCCTAGAGGGGAGGGGGATGAAAAATGGAGGTAACCCCTGCTCTCTAGCTTTCTCATTTCTCTAATATCATCTTCAAGCTCTCTACTATCAGAGTGCTAACTTAAGAATCGGAGTGGCCTTGTCGGATAAACACCCCCGGATCCTCTGATTCAGTTCTCGTAGGTTCATCGGCTCCCGCCGTCTACAAAGAGGAGCAGATCATCTCATGCAGAGGGCAGTCGGGTTGCACTACACTAGGAGGTTCGCCACCAAGGTAGCGCACCTAGCAGCTCATCCAGGTAGCTCACCACCAGGGAGCTCGTCACCAGGTAGCTCAGCACTAGGGAGCTCCACCATCCTCTCCTGGGAGCAGGTCAAATGACGAGATACTTAGCCAAAAAAATTAATACACCACAAAAAATTGGTACGTGACCAGAACCGGTTACATCATAAATACTTATTGGCTGAATCAATCAATTGCTTCCAAAAGTTAAAGTGAAGGTAAAAGAGATGATTCCAGAACACCCCCTTAACCCCCTTAAATCGAAGATAATGATGAACTACTGCTACAGTACCCACCTACCACCAGTTTTAGCTTAAAAAGGAAACGCGACCGATTCTCATTTAGTCATTTTGCCGAGAAGATGATAAATGGACAGACAGACCACTTGGAGCGGGACGAGGAGCACCGACAAAAGCGAGATGGACGGATTGAGAAATAAAGATGACAGTCGACGACTCGAGTGCTCGACGGCTGCTATTTATTGAGGAAGGCAGCCAAAGAAGCTTGCCTTCGCCGATGGTGTCTTTTGCCTCTTTCGCCGGTTGGAGAGTATAGAACGAAAGGTCTGGGTGGAGAATGGAGAGACGAGGGAAAGAAGAGAACGAAAAGGTCTCAGAAAAATAATTTGAACGAGAGAGCGTTCATGTTAAACGCCCGTTTACCATCCCCGCACGAATGAGGAATGCCCACACGCGTGTCATCCTTTCATAATATTCGAACGACCATTAACGCTTTGACTGAAGCCGAACCAATTTCGTTTTCCCGTGCCCAGTTAGTATTTATACATTAGCATATAGTCTCACCCAATACAAAAGTCCCGCTGTTTTTCATTTACGCCCCCGAACCGCAAACATTATGACTGTGGCAGCAGGGCTGGGGTACGCCCTGGCAGCCCTTGGCCCTTCCCTCTCTCTATTTGTCGCTGTAATCTCCAAAAAGCCTTTCTTGATTCTCACTGTTCTCTCAAGGTAATTGAATTTTTTTTATTTGGATTCTTTTTTAATTTTTTTGTTTCTTTTCTTCGAAACCATCTAAATGCCGTCTGATCGACCCTGTTCGATAAATTAGTACTTTTTTTTGTAAGTTATATTGATATTTAGACGATAATTTTAGTGGCATTGGAATGCAACTTCAATATTTGTTAATTTTTAGAATCTCTTTGCAAGTGAAGATAACAAATTTGATGTTGAAGTCTTCTTCAGACGTTCTAGGGTTTGTAGTAGTTCATAAAGAAAGTGGAGCCGAACTGGGATGGGTTTTGATGAGTTAAACATTTCGAGGGTTTTGTTTGTTACTTCGTTAATACTTGCATTCACTCATTTGCTCAAGTTATCTTATCGTTTTTTCCCCTTCGATGTTTTTTTTTTCTTCATTTGTTGCTTTTTTTGGAATAATTTTGGTTCAAGTATTTTGTTCTGGCTGTAATGGTTTCGGGTTAAATGGATGCAGTACACTGTTATGGCTTGTAAGTCTGATTGCTCTATCGGGATTGTGGAGGGCTTTTCTTCCCCTGAAGTCGACAGCTTGGTGGCCATATGGACTTCTTATAATCACATCGGTCGGTTTTCAAGAGGGCCTTCGGATTCTATTCTGGAAAGTTTACAAGTACGTCAACGCCATTAGTACCTTCTATACTTCTACTGTTAGTATGCTCTGTGAATCAGTATAGATTTTAATATGGATCGTGATGTATCTTTTTAGAACATAATGGTGAAACAGGATTTATGTAGCCGACCCCATATAGTTGGGACAAGGCTTAGATGAAGATGATGATATGTGTTGTTGTATTAGGTGCAGTGGCTTAACATTGAGATAATTAATTGAAAATAATAATTTTAGTTGACTATGCTGATCCACGAAGATGACCATTTCCAGCAAAAGATAGTCAAGGGCTCATTGCTATGCATGTAAAAAGAATCCAGTTTTTAATTTTTATACTGGACTATGCTCATCTAGGATTGGACTACATAGTTAATATAAAGATGGCACCTAAGGGTGGAGTTTGATTGCGATGCATGGGACACATGTTTTTACCAATCAGGGCTTCAGACTTTAGACCAGCTATTGGTTTGTTCAATCCACCTGGAAGGAAAAGTTAGAAGCTCCAATAGAATGTAGGGACTAAATACCACATTGATTGTGTCCATAGTTTCAAACAATATTTAGACTAAAATTTTGTAGGGATGGGGAAGAATTTATCTTTTGTTTTTTTTTTGGAAAATAAAGTTAAAGATTCATTCACCAAAGGAGAGCTAATTACAAAGATAAGCCATGTAACCAAGGTTCTGTACATGGGGATATACAAAATAAATACCAAAAAAGTAAATAATCAAAAAATGAAATAGAACATCCTTATCATAAATCTATTGAAATCCTTGCTTGTCAACCAGGAGAACAACTCCCCTTTTATACCCCCTAGTAGGGGTGCTCAAGGTTTGGTTAACCAAATCGTGGGCCTATTTTTGAAACCGAACCGGTCCTACCGGTTCTGAAAACCGGTAACCAAAACCGTACYGAAGCCAATTGGTTAACCAGTTGACCGGTTTGGTTAACCGCCAGTTTGGTTTGTTGATTTTTTATATTTATTAGACGAAGTGATTTAGAGGAGATTAGGAAGGACTTTCTTTCTGAGGATGAAGATTACAATGATTCTGATTCAGATGATTCAGTGAGTCTGGGTAGCATCGATCTAAGCAAATCGAAGGACATCACTGAGGAAGATAACTTTGGAACGGAAGTTTTTGTTTCAGGAGGATGAGGGAGCTGGTTCTCAAAGTTTTGAGGGAGGTCCGATGAATATGATGGAACGACAAAAGGAAATTACGACTGGGACTCAGGTTTTGCCTCTACCCGCAAGGGAGATTAGCTCCCTAGCCCAGGAAGAACAGGTTTTTGGTTTGGAAGGGGAAGACTCTACCGGAATGGTCTGTAATGTATTGCCTGAAGCCAGATAGCAGTAGAAGACTAACTCAGTTGCTACCGACAAGTTGTTGACTTCCTCTAAAAAATCTCCTATGCAGATACTGATGTGCTTCCTGTGCTTGAAACAGATACTCCAACATCCCGAGAGGAAACCTTAGGTGGGGAGGAAAATAGAGATCATAGCAATGGTGAAGGTGAGCGTTGTGAGATAGAGACGGGGGTTAAGAAAAAGCAGGAGGAAGAATTAGAAAGAATATGGGAGCAGATCTGTGCATTACTGGAGGAGTATAAAGAAAAGGAGGAGGGATTAGATCGCGGGGAACAAGAAGCAACTCCTCAGAACAAGGACCGTCACAAAAGTTCTAGGTTGGGGGGGGGGGAGGTGGGTGAAGTCAGTGAGTCGGCTAAGAAGACATAGGGGAATACGGAAAGGAAAAAGAAAAAGAGATCAGAGGTGGAGAAACTAATCTCAGATATAGAGGGCGATATCGGGTTCAATGGAAGAGGAGAAAGAAGGAATGATTCTTTGTAAGGTGGAACCGTGTTAGAAAGGGGCATTTGAAAGGAGTTTCATAATGAAAATCATTAGTTGGAATGTGAAAGGGTTAGGGAGTGCAAGAAAAAGAAGGGCAATTAAAGACTTACTGAGAAGAGGGAAACCTGATATAGTCATGTTACATGAAACTAAGTTGGCATAATTGGATAGAAAATGGGTCAGAAGTGTGTGGAAATCAAGAGGAGTTTGTTGGACTTTAGCTCCCTCTTGGGGAGACTCAGGAGGGATAGTTACTTTTTGGAGGGAGGATGTTGTAGAATTAGTGGAAGAACTTATAGGGAGATTCTCTGTGTCTAAGGCTGCAACTTGGGCCGGGTTGGCCCAAGTTGATGTTCGGGTTAGGGTTAGGGTTGAAATTTATGAACCCGACTTGGCAACCCGAACCCAACTCTATAGTACATATCATATATAAATATATGTTATATGTGTGATATATCATACATTGATTTSTTTAGATGCATGATAGTTGTATAGCCCCCACCAGATACTATCATTTATTTCTTTTAAGTCAACCCTAACCCAACCCGAACCCAACTCTATAGTACATATCATATATAAATATATGTTATATGTGTGATATATCATACATTGATTTCTTTAGATGCATGATAGTTGTATAGCCCCCACCACATACTATCATTTATTTCTTTTAAAATAATCACTTCAATTAATCCTAATTGGAAATACTAAAACCTTAATAACATATTTTATGTTTTTTGAATATTTTATTCTTTATCTCCTCTCTGTTGTTTGCCACCCATAGCTTGCTGCCCATAAAATATCTATTATAAGTCATAACTCATAATAAACTATAGTCATTTCAAACACCTTTTTTTTCTAAATTTTGTACTTAAAGAACCAAGAAAAACATCAACAAACAAAATACTAATAAAACATAGGATTAATATATGTAGTGAAAGTTGAGTTAAGATCTTAGATTAAGAAGTTTGTATGAGATTTTAAGGGATGGGAAGAAGGTTGGGTTGGGCCCTTCCCGAGCCCAGCCCAACCCGAAGTTGACTTTGGGTTGGGTTGGGGGTTTAGAACTTAGGGCTGGGCTAGGGTTGGCCTCAACCCGACCCGACTTGCAGCCCTATCTGTGTCTTTAAAATTAAGAAATGTGGTGGACAGGTTCACTTGGGTGTTAACTAATGTATACGGGCCAAATACTTACAGATAAAGGAATGAAATGTGGGAGGAGCTATATGGAATACAAGGTTTGTGGGATGGCCCATGGTGCCTGGGGGGGGGGTTTCAATGTAATCATGTTCTATAATGAATCAAATAACCCCCAAAGAAAGGTTACAACAAGCATGAGAAATTTCAATGACTTGGTTAACACCTGTGGTTTCATGGAATTACCCCTTCTACAAGCCAATTTTACTTGGTCTAATTTCCAATAAAACCCCCTTTTCTCTAAACTTGATAGATTCCTTTTTTAATGTAGAATGGGAGGATCATTGGAGGAATCTGGTGGCTAAAACTCTTCCTAGAGTGACTTCTGATCACTGCCCTATCCAATTAGGCCAAGAAACTCTAGGCTTTGGACCACGATCCTTTAGATTTGAGAATATGTGGCTAACTCATCTGGACTTTGGACACTTGGTTGGGGAGTGGAATGAAGAATTGAGAGGGGTAAAGTGGAAAGGGGTAAGGTTCCATAAAAAGGTGAAGAGATTGAGAGCCAAGATCAAAGAGTGGAATCAAGAGCATTTTGGAAGGATAGAGGAACAAAAGAAAAATTTGTTGTCCAGGATTGATGATCTAGACTCCAAAGAATCTCAAAGGATGATGACTGAGCAAGAAAGGATTTTGAGAAGAAGTTTAAAGAAGGAATTGGAAGAAGTTCTTCTTAGAGAGGAGATTTCTTGAAGGCAAAAGTCAAGACACGAATGGATCAAAGAAGGGGATGACAACACAATTCTTCCATGCCATGGCTAATGGGAGGAGAAGAAAAAATTGTGTGGCCAAATTAGAAGTGAATGGAGAGGAAATCACAAACCAAGACGAGATAGCCAAAGTGCTGGGAGGTGGTGAAAGAGGATTTAATGAAAGTGTTTCAAGACTTCCATCAAAATGCAACTCTAGAAAGAAGTCTAAATTCAACGTTCATCTCCTTAATACCTAAAGTGGAAGGGGCAGCCAACATTAATGACTTCAGGCCCATCAATTTATTAAATAGCTTCTATAAAATTCTGGCTAAGGTCCTTGCAGAAAGAATGAAGCCAGTTCTGAATTTTGTGGTTGCAAAGAATCAATTTGCATTTGTGCCGGGAAGACAGATGTTAGACAGTGTCCTGATGGCAAATGAATTGATAAACTCAAGGAGAAAGGAAGGTAAATCAGGGCTGATTTGTAAGCTGGATCTGGAAAAAGCCTGCGATCATGCTAATTGGAAGTGTTTGGATTTGGTACTAGAAAAGATGAATTTTGGTCAGAAATGGAGGAACTAGATTAAAGTCTATGTTTCTTCCCCCAAATTTGCGGTGCTAGTCAATGGTGAGTCAGCTGACTTCTTTAAAAGCTCTAGAGGTCTCAGACAAGGGGACCCCTTTCCCCTTTGCTGTTCATTTGTATAATGGAGGTATTGTCCCCCTTTGTTCATCAAGTTAGTGAGGAAGGCTTATGGAAATGGTTTGAATCAGTTCCAGGAGGGGAAAAAGTGCAGTTACTCCAGTTTGCGGATGACACATTGTGTTTTATTGATGCAGATCTAGGTCAACTGGAAATCATGCTTGGGGTGTTAAGTTGGTTTGAAGTGGTGACAAGTTTAAAGGTTAACTGGGCCAAGAGTAATCCCCGTGGGGAAGGTTGAGAATCTTGAATTGCTAGCTGAAGCTCTTGCTTGTCAGGTCGGGTACCTTCCAACAATGTATTTAGGGCTCCCCTTGGGGACCAAATGCTCTTCCTCTCTAATTTGGGATCTGGTGGTGGAAAGATTGGAAAGGAAATTGGCATAATGGAAAGCCAAATATCTCTCTTTGGGGGGTAGAATCACTCTTCTAAAGAGTTCTCAGTCTAATTTCCCGTCCTATTTCCTCTCTCTCTCTTCCCTATCCCTACCAAAGTGCGAACAAAATAGAAAGGCTCCAAAGAAATTTTCTTTGGAAGGGCTGGGAGGAGGGAA